TATCACTTGAAATTTTTTTTTTTTTTTTGAACTGGGGATTGAACTCAGTTCCTTGTGCTTGTCAGGCAAATGCTTATTCTGCTGAGCCATCTCCTCAGCCCCTGTTTTGTACTCTTAAAAAATTGAAAAAAGAATTAGAAAGAGTTCCTCCAATCTACTATAAGAAAGTCTTCCTGACTACTTCCTTTGGCTCAGGGAATGGGAAGGCAAATGATAGAGCCCTTGGGGATGACAAGGGCAGGCCATAAGAGGCTGAGCTTTCTCAATAACCTACATTTTATTTTATTTTATGTATGTATGTATGCATTTATTTATTTATTTATTTATTTATTTAGTGGTACTGGGGATTGAACTCAGGAACTTGCACTAGCCAGGCAAGTGCTTATTTTACCAAGCTATCTCCCTGGTCCAATAACCTACATTTTATTTTATTTTTTTGATGGAACTGGGAATTGCATGGGAGGGGCTGTCAGTAATAAACGCTAAGCCCCCTAAGTGGTCCCAGAACCACTTTTCTGGTGAGGGGCAGGAGGTCAGAGAGACCGAGCCTGTGTATGGTACCCCTGACTCCCCCGCAACCCTGTGTGGATTCCAGCAGTGTCCCTCCGAATGCACACTCGCCCGAGACTTCAGATCCCACTTGGAAACAGGTTCTTTGCAGATATAATGGATAAGAAGCGGTCACCCTGGATCTGTGTGGGCCTGAAATCCAATAGGTGGTGTCCTAAGAAGACACGTGGCCAAACGTGGCATGCACATCTGTCACCCCAGCACTTGGGAGGCTGGGGCAGGAAGGTTGCCAGGAATTCGAGGCCATCCTGGGCTACATAGCAAGACCCTTCTCAAAATTCCAAACAAACAAAAACACAAAAAAGAAACAAAGAAGGGGCTGGGGATGTATCTCAGTGGCATAGTGGATGCCTGGCAAGAGAAAGGTCCTGAGTTTGATTCCCTATATCTAAATAAATAAATAAATAAGAAAGAAGCCCCGTGAAGGCATCCCAGGGAGATAGGTGAAGATGGAGGCAGAGCTAGGAGTGATGTTGCTATAAGGCACAAGGCCAAGGATCACTGTGACCAGGAGGGGCCAGAAAGAGATGACAGATTCCCTGGAGCCGGGCATGTTGGTGCATGCCTGTAATACCAGCACTTGGGAGGCTGAGACAGGAGGATTTTTGGGAGTTCGAGACCAGCCTGGGCTACAAAGTGAGCTCAAGGCCAGCCTGAGCTGCATAGCGAGACTTTCTTTTCTTTTCTTTTTTTGGTGGAACCAGGGATTGATATTTACACATGTGTGTCTGATTTATTTCATTTCAGAATATGGTCTCAAGATACATCCATTTGCCTAGAAATGTCTTGAGCTTCTCCAGAAGTGAATTTGTATGGGTTTTGTTAAAAAGGAAAAATTTCTTTTTTAAAAATTAATTTGAAGGCTGGTGAGATGGCTCAGTGGTCTAAAGCACCTACTTAGAACAAGCTTGACAAAGCACAGGGACCGCGGTTCAATCCCCCAGCACCACA